ATTCACATCCTACATATTCTTAAAAGTTTTTGCTTTGGTTCATACTGGAATGGCCGCGAAGGGTTATGATGTAGGTACAAGATTTTGTGAGCAGTGCCTGTATTGATTTTCTGTAACTACGCCGTGACATCAGACTAAAAGCCTCTGTATGCAGCCAGCTAAATCATATACATATTTTGTAATCTCATTATGTAGACGGAAGATAATATAATCTAACTCTTTATATTTGAGCAATGTTGGCATAGTTCAGGGCTTCTTTCTAGACGATGACATTCATCCCCGAGGTTGTAAGATCGAGCCCCGGCTGTTACATATTTTGTTGGTTATAGTTACTTTTCATATATTTCACTTTACAAGTACAGTTACAGTTGTAAAAGCGCCCGAAATGTCTAGTGAGAAATTCTGTCGCATTACTTGCTGACAGAAGGTAGATGTAAGCACCTCAGCAAAACCCTGGCAAGATCTAATCTTATGTACACATCAAAAAAATGTTTTTTTCATTTTTGGTATAAATTTAATATACATAGAAGGGATTTTATTAAAAATATCCAAAAGTGAACGTGAAACATTTGAACGTTCTAGGCTATGAACCTATCATATTGTAAAGGCATCAAACCAGAAGCTGTATGAGCTACTGAAATATTCAATTATGAACCACTTAGCTAAAGACGTTCAAAAGGAAGGTTTTTAACTAAATAGAAGGCAAATATTGATTAGTATTGGTGGCGGTACATAGCCCTCAGTAAGACATCATCGTCTCTAATCATTGTGAGACACTTGCATAGAGGAAGAAATAGTGAATACACATACAGTTTCGACTGACTATATATATTAACAATAGTATCTTATATATAGTCGGTTAGACTGAGACCAAAAACAATTATAGACACAGTATCAGTTATATATACTACATCGTGATATCCTAGCAACCCCCCAAACGTCAACCCACGAGATGGGAAAACGACACTAACTATCGCCCACCACTGGAGAGAAATAGCGTGACCGAAACTACTGGAAACTTATGCCAGGAGGCACGCGATTTTTAATATAGGTAAGTTACTAGAGTCTAGAGCGCTAAGTATAACTCCCGTATGTCAAAAATATATTGGATTATAAGATACAACAGTGAGAATCCTACCACTAATACTAGACTAGAAAAGACAAACGTATCCTTTGATGGTTTGATGTAATCTCTACGAACTTGTAGGTTTCCCTAATTTGAGCTACCTCAAACGAAGCCCCAAAACTTCCATTGTGCGGTAACTGTGACATCAAAGGCGAAATATTACTGCCAATTATACAATGGTAACGTGTGCCTGTGTAGTAATATCAAAGTCACAGTGATTAAAATATAAACCTTATATTAAAATCCTGACTGAAGTAGCAGTTAAATCTACAAAATAGTTAAGGCATAAATGGTTTGAATTACTTTTGTTCTGCTATACTATACACACACAAAATTTATTGACTGATTATGGATGGATTGACTGATTTTATAAAATGTTTGTTGTTAATTTGTCCGCCGCAATTTCTCTATGAAGACCTGCCTTAAATTAAATTTAGTACTAGACTACTATAGTATACAAAGTTTTCCCTTTTTTCAATATTATTGAGTTAAACTATTACATCATCGGGTGACGTATGAAAGGTGGGTTTGCATTGTCTACTAATTTACGTATAGTTAACTGGTTTAATGTAAATAACTTACTGCTTATTGAGAATAAAACAAAATGTATTAGATTTACAACTACTAGCGTAAAGCGAGATATTGGTAACCTGAAAATTAAGGACAGTGAACTAAACTTTGTTGACAAAACTGTTTTTCTAGCCATAACAATAGATAGTAAACTTCAGTGGGGCCCAAACATAGATACTCTTACGAATAGGCTGAGCTCTGCAGCATATGCAGTAAAGAAAATCCGACGGTTTACTGATAAGGACACAGCTAAAATTGTGTATCATAGCTACTTTCACAGCGTTATGTCGTACGGTATTCTACTGTGGGGTGCTGCTGCAGAGGTTCAATCCCTATTTGTGCTGCACAAGCGGGCTGTTCGGGGTATTTGTTGTGTTTCTCCGAGGGAGTCGATACGGAATAAGTTTAAGGAATTAAGTATTATGACACTATCTGGTCAATATATTCTTGAAGCCTTGTTGTATGTACAAAAAAATATAAACGATTTTAAAACAAATGGTGACTTTCACCAGTATAATACACGAAATAGAACTAATTAGAGTCTACGACCAACCAGGCTCCAAAAGAAAGACCACTCCTTATGTGAAAATTGTATTCGTTTTTGCAACAAACTCCCAAGCGAAATTAGAGAATTATCACTAAATAAATTCAAAGCCCTCGTTAAACGAAAATTAATCAATAAACTTTTTATAAATTTGAGGAATACTTAAATGGTCCTAATCCTTGGGATTGATTTGCTTCAGTTCAAACAATTTGTATGACAATACTTGGCGATTAAAAAGAGTGGCGGAAAGTTTCTTACCCGCTCTACGCCCTTGACTTGCGAACTGGTAGTAAATATAAATTTACAATTAATTTAACTTCTTTCTGACAATTCATAAATGTACTTGTTTACCTACATGAATAAAGATATTTTGGGTTTGAGTTTGAGTTTAATGTTCAACTAACTTTTTGAGTAAACCTCGTGAATATCCTTATTATATACTGATTACTAGTTGCCTCAGCTTGGTTTTGCCTTTTTAGTTACTACATACCTATATATGGGACATTCGCGAATTTGCGTTTACATTTACAGAAGAACAAAACTGGTTTATATATTACGTGCAATTTTTCCAATTGTTCTCTCCATAAACCTTACCCAGAGTTCAATCAATAAATCAAAATTTCATTTTAAAAAAATCATTTTTATTTATTACTAGCTAACCCGACAAACGTTGCTTTGCCATGTATATTATTTCAAGGAAACATTTTTTAGTTCAATAAAAATAATGATCTACAATTATAAAAAATAGGGATTCATCGTGTATGTATTTTTGTTGTATCAAATCATGTTTTTTTTTTTGGGATGGACACCCCTTAACACTTAGGCGTTTGAAAAATAGATAGTAGCCGATTCTCAGACTTACTGAATATGCATAAAAATTTTCATATGAATCGGTCGAGCCGTTTCGGGGGGAGATGGGAACGAACGTTTTACGTTGTGACACGAGAATGTTATATATTAGATTAGATATTAGCTCTCAACTTCTCATCTTGGTTTAAAATTAATGTTGTATTCCTCTTATATAACATGATATTCACTCTGTCTATTGCATTCATGCAACTTGTGTTTATTTGAAACTTCTCTCCATTGCGAGAAACTCTCGTCGCAGCTAATTAGCTAACTTCAGACAACTCACACTAGACATGTAGCGTACGATTTAATTACACAGTGTCACAAAGTAACTTCATGTTACATTTGTTTCGTATTAAACTTTCTTTAAACAAAGAGATTCTATATAAATGAGTCGCTGTTTATTTAAGCAGTTTTTACGTTATTTTAGATCTGCCTTGTGATTCTGTAACGCAGTAAACAATAAACTACAAGCTCCCTTCTTATCAGAATGTCAAATCAAAAAATGACTGCTTTACGACTGATTTGAGCGCTACCGCTACTGCAAAAACCGCTGTGTGAGTTCGAAAAGTGAGTTACAGAATCGCAAGGCTGTTGACATTTTGATTTCAAAAAAATTGAATGGTAGATACTTTTTTTTAGTTTGAATTTCGAACGTACACATTTCCTTAGAACAATGGAAGCTGCGTTTTTAAGCTATATTTCATAAAGTTGGAGACAAAATGAGCACATCATTAGCACTATTTGCTAAGAATGATATTATAATTGGAGAGCATTTTTGTCGTTTCAACAAATTTATTCTTATATCTAATTTTTGCGAGGCTGTGAAAATGTTTTAGATTATATACAATATAACCATAACTATGTCAGAAAATGGCAGTTGTAGGGTTTTGATTATTTCATTTGTAAACTTTTACCTATAAAAGTGGTTTATCGCTAGCGCTGCAAAAGAACATTAATGAAGTTGTGCAATAATACTTCTCAACAGAAGTGTTCTTTTAATTGAACAAAATATAATTTAATTAAAAAAAAATATTGTTTTTATTTTTACAGGTAATAGACAATAGATATAAAAGGGCAGTCATATTCCTAAGCGCAGTTTATTCTAGACTAAACAACATCCACCATATTGTTTCTGTTGTAATTTACAACAATGTCCGAGGCTATTAAAATTAAAATTTGTTTATACGCTGAAATAGTTGTATCAATGAAATAAATAAATACTGTTAAAGTCCTTTGGGGAAACAGCTTCAGTCACAAAAATGTTTTCCAAAGATCCTGAATGGCCACGGGGCTTTTGGACACTATTTACACAGATTCAAACTGGAGGCAAGCCCCGTGTGCGAATGTGACGAAAGAGCCAATCAAACGGTAGTTCATATACTTATAGACTGTCGACAACTTTCGAAAGAGCCAGGAGTGATCTGAAGCTCGAGTTTGGTCGCTCGAGGAGATTGGAAGCTCGAGGTGGGTATCTCGGGTAGGGCTATACTACATTTTGCTTGAGCACAGATCGCAGCTGGAAAATACTTTCATAGAATAAGATGAATAGCATAAGAGGTAACGCGGGTCCCACCGGCCAGCGGGTTCCGACTCGCCCATAAATATCATAAAGATATTTACGGAGTAGTTTTCGCCCGGGCTTGGCGTCTCCCGTCGCCCACCAGAACTAAGCTTGAGCAAATAGAGTCCCTAAAAAGGGACTTTATTAGATAAGGGGAAATCTGAGATCTGCCTGATCGCGTGCCTAATAGGCTGGTATGTACGAGTCTTTGTATTACAAAATTTGTAAAAAAAATTGTAGGTAGGTATTTTTTTTATATAATTTGATGTAGTTTATTACGTTTATCCGGTGTTAGTTCATTTCGTTATCAAAGTAACGGTCAACAATTTGGGATATTCTCATCTTACCTTCGCAATCTTATGTAGAAGTGCAGTCGTGGAGCTGGTCTTGAAAAGTCCAAGGGCACGTCTTCGCAATCCTTGGCCAAGGCAGGCTTCCACAGCACCACATAGTGCTGTCACTCCACCGCTTTCTTCATGAACAAATTTCCGTGTAACCGCCTAATGTAGAGAGATAATTCATTATTAGTATGACAGAACAAACATTAAATATCCTACAACCCGACCACCTTGCTATGGGATGTAAATGATTCCATAGTATTAGAATTATATATATGTAATAAAGAAAATCAGAGCCGAGCTAGTCTTGTTAAACCCACCCAGATTTTGACTCTAATAGTTTTATGTTGAAAGACATAGCACCTATAATAATCTTAAAAGCATTTTAAATGCAGCCGGAGCCCCTTGAAGCGAATTGCATAGTTTTAATAGAATAATTTATTATTATGATATTTTGAAAACTATGCGTTAGATTAAAGACCCTTACCTCTTCCATCAACTGCTTGACTTCTTTCTTAACAGCAGCGATGAGGCGGTCTTTCTGTTCTGCTGCTGGGTCTGTCGTCGACGGCATATCGCCTGAACCACTTTCCACTACAAAATATTTTAAACCTTAAATTCGACAAGTATCAATAGTCAAAAAGCTTTACGTGAATTTCAATTGTTCACGTAAAGCTTAATAATATATTTAAGAAATTATTTTCATTATCAATTCTTAAACTCAATCATTCAATATGGAGGTCAATAATTAAAAAAAACAACTCAATCAGTTACATTATCTATTCACCGTGTTTCCTCATAGCACATAACAATGAAACAGAAGGAAACGAATAAAAATTTGGTTAAAACATTGAAGTTTTACTGTTTTTTTTATAAATATTTAAGGGGGTGAGACTACACGATTTAATATATATTGCGGCGCATAATTGCATTCTTCTTTACATTAGAACTCCTAACACTTCATTATACTAATACGTCCACATGACGATATAAATTCCTCATAAAAAATTGCAAAAGCTCTTAAATTTTATCTACTTTACATCAAAGGTTTTCATTAATATCCTAACAACGTATAAGTATCGTAATACAGCGAGGAAATTACTTTGTTCGGATGAATACCTGCAGCTAAGTTTTATCGTCGGACGTCGAGGCAGAATACGAAATTCCACCCGTATCACCTCGACGTTCGTCGTTCCACAACTGAGCGATTTTAAGGCAGTTTTTTTTAGTTTCGATTTTAGTTTTTTAAGCAATACCCTGTTATTTCTGAACCAATTCGACTTAGGGGACTCCTTCAAGAAAAGAGTGTACCAATTCTTAAAAGGCAGGCAACGCACTCGCGAGCCCTCTTGCATTGAGAGCGTCCATGGGTGGCAGGGCGGTATCACTTAACTTCAGGTGAGCCCGTTTGCAGTAATTAAAAAAAAGGTTTTTATTTATCCATTTTAAAATATTACTATTCCTAACAACTACCGTATTATGAAACTTATGATAGGTCCACAGACGGTGAAGTCATGCGCATTAATAATAAATTTACCTGTCCAGTTATCCTTCCCCTACGGTTTTATAGACACTTGAAACATACTAACGTGACGTAATACTAATCGGAATTACTAAAATGTTTTTTTTATTGCAAAAAAACCCTTGGGAACAAGCTAATTTATACGTAAATATAAATTGCAAAGAAAATTCCAAGACTCACTCGTACTCACACATATCCAATAAATACTTTCAAATGTACTAAATGGCAAGATTAATTTTTGCTTTTGTCTAAAACTTTGCCAAGTAATCAATAATTCATACCTATTAATAGTCAACTACGCATAGGAAATAAAGTAATATTGAAAAGCAGTGTTTTGGTTAAATTGCTATTTAGTCAATGGTATAAAAGTATGTATCTTTACGAATATACAGTGAAACTTGGTTATGTGGGACCTGGATAAGTGAGAAACCGCCATAACTGGAACTCATGCTGAGGTCCCAATATTTTGGCACTGAATTACTTCTGTTAGTGGGACGAGGTAAGCCTCTATATCTGGAATTTGTTCTTTCGATTTATCATCATTCATCATAGTTACCTCTATAACTGAGACAGCGAGTAAATTTTATATGCATAAAGCTCTGTAACTGAGATAACATTGTTTGTTTACTCATTCTTATTCTACCCACAAATTCTACACGTAATTCCAAGTACGTAAGTAATTTTGAGCTTCAGTTACCTTCAGTTTTAGTTTCGCTTTACTATCATACAGATGTTTATTTGAAAAATGCCAAAACGAAAGCTACAATCGTTATCATTACGTGAAAACTGAATCCAAACGACAAACTAAAATGACAGATTTTTATAATTGATACATTCTGTTTCCATATTCGTATATATAACGTGTAAAAACGTGCTTGAATATTTTTGTTGATTACATTTGTGTGATTACCTTTACGTATGTACAATTTTTTTTTATTTAAACTCATTTACATACATAACACGTTATTTTATTTAATGATCGCACCTCTATAACTGAAATAACCTGTATTCTCACCTCTATTAATGGAACCCTCTGTAAATTAGACAGATATTTATTTATACCTGTATATCTGAGACACTGGGTAAGTGGAATACCTCTATAAGTGAAACGACATTGCAGGTCCCTTGATGTCTCACTTAACCAGGTTTCACTGTATTTACAATGTTTATCCAGATATTATATATTTATTATTGTAATAAGTACGAAAAAATATCTATCAACGAATAAACACACCCGCATACAACTAAAACTAAACTTCAACAAAATTCTGTAATCTAGCGGTTTCCGTTTGATAAACGAATCAACTTGATAGCTATTAAAGGTCGGACTGAATCAGTTTATTTCCACTTCCAACCTTCGTCTAACCAGGATTTTTCCGTCCACTTTTCTTACCTGGATAACTGTAACCCGAATAGGTATATGAACCATCTTATTTCTGTTTTATTATATATATTCTTAATAATATTAGATCCAAAAACTGTAGTTAAATATGTATATTTTACACTTAACTTTAACCCTTAAGACCCTTAAAGAAAATAAAAAAATATTAATTTCTAAAAGGCCAGTAACGTACTCGCGAGCCTTCTGCCATGCATAGTTACTAAACTGTTGTATATAAGAAAACAACGTAAACTCTAATTCATTAATGAGGCATAACAACTAGAAATGTTTTAATTAATTTACTATTGCTATTAATACAGAAGGCACTAGAGATAAAAGTAATGTTTGTCTAATTTATTAAAGAAAGAAAACTGAAATCGCAGATAATTCATAGAGCAAAGACCGCGTAAAAAGTTAATGAAAAACATTAAAAATAAAACGTTTCAGGAAATGAAAACATAATCTCACAATTTACTCACGTAGAAAGAAGTCATTAAAATGTAAATGGTGCTCAAATATTGATGAGTATTTTATTTCGTTTGATATAGAGTGAATAACAGCATTGAGCTTTATTCGTTCTTTTACACATGGATGAATTGATATAATGTTCAACAATATATTGGTAAATATTGATAAAACCTAAAAGGGGTTCGAATTTCGAATGTATAAGTAAATGTAATTAAGACACAAATATTAAACATTTACAATACACGTTAAACGATTCTCATGAAAACGATTTTCAAACTAATTGAATTTCGACGCCGTTGTAATTTTATCTTGAAAATAATAGGTAGACGTTCCTCATTTAAATTTAAAATTTTAATCACGATTAAAGACAATATTAGTGAATCAACAACAAGGCATCATAAAACGAGTAATTGGCTCCAATATATACAGTTTTACGACAAAATCCCTAGCGAAGAAGGTACGAGCATTGTCAATAAATAGCGAAAAGATTAATTTGCTTGGTAAATGAGTTGCACCAGTTTACCCTTCGAATGTTTAATTTGCGATCGTCGATTGTTTAATAACCGAATGTTTCGTAACATATTAAAAAAGGGAAATAATAATCCATAGAATATTAAAACCTTTTTTGAATCTACGTGTTTTTTATAGAACAGTGGAAAAATGGAAGGCGGCTTACCTATTGTTAAGTGATACCTATGTACACTCACTTTGCCAGAAGGCTCGAGAGTGCGTATCCTTTTAAGATTTAGTACGTTCTTTTGTTTAAGTATAATTTTACGGCCAGAGCTATTGGGCGACAGTATTATACTATGAGTAACTCAAACAGACGTGAAATTACGTTTATTAACGTTTTTCCTGTAGGTATAATAAATATATGAATATATGATTTTTTCATACTAATATTTCACCCAGATAACATTTGTCAAGAGTAAAAATACAGGACAGAATGCAGAAGAACAAAGAAGTGCTTATGACGGTTAAGAAAAGGTTAACTTGAGTATTTCGGACACGTTTTACGTAACTCCAAAAAATATGAGCTCCTTCAACTAATCATACAAGGCAAAGTGGCAGGTAGAAGGAGACCTGGCCTCAGACGCACCTTCTGGTTGAAAAACTTAAGACAATGGTTTGGTCAAAGCACCAAGTCATTGTTTAGAAGCGCGGCATCCAAAATCAACTAGCCATGATGATCGCCAACCTTCGCAAGGAGATGGCACTATAAGAAGAAGAGTAAAAATATTGCAAAGTGTTTCAAAACGGGCAGAAGGCTCACCTGATGTTAAGTGATACCACCTATGAAGACCCAATGCCTGAGGGCACACGAAAGTGTTGCCGCGCTTTTCTTGAAGGACCTTAAGTTGAATTCGATTCGAAAATACTTCAGTGGGTAGCTGGTTTCCACATAGTGGTCGTGCGCGGCCTTAAATAACGATCAGTTTTGAAACGTTGGACATCGATGTGAAGAGGACGTCCGATGGTTAAACTCAGCTGCCGGTATTAATCTGAAAACTCGCCGTGTTACATGCGGTAGAAGATGCAGAGTGACCCCACAACTTTACGCAACGCCATAGGATCAATCATCAAGCAAGTATATAATTGTTTTAATTTAGTGGACTTATAACAGAACGTTATCACAAGTTAATTGGTCCACTTGAATGCAATAGACATATTCTTTCCTGCATTCAGGTTGTTTCGACTGTCATTTGTCATGCGAATATTACTATTCAATAATTCAATAAAACATATTGACATTCTTCGCTCGGTTCTGACGAACGACAATATTGAATAGAATTTGATCGGCCATAAGGAGACAGACGAGAGTTTGATCTTGATAATATCCTTATCGATTAGACTTAAACTGAATTTGATGTGTTTTAAACACAGATACAGATTAAATACATTTTTTTAAGTAATTTTAGGCAGATGTAATTTTTATTAATTATACGAAAGCTACATTACAAGTAGTAGGTATACAAATTAAATGGCAAAAGTACTAAGAATGTGCAGCTATAACGGTGAACATAATAATGAAAAATAACCTTGCCAATTTGTATATTTCACAATTAATAAAGCCGTTATGAGCATAAGACATAATTAAAAAACAAACAAAAGAGAATTTAACATATTAGATTAAAATAAAAAGCCTGTTTCAATACTAGGCAAAGAGGATATTCAGCTTTAAAGTTCAAATTCAGAGTCGAGA